TGCCCAGGTGGGTCTCGAACCCGCGGGCTCAGGCAATCCTCTCACCTCAACCTCCCAAAGTGCTGGGATTACAGGCTGAGCCACCGAGCCCGGCTATCCTTTACTTTCAAGGGCTTAGCTTGGTAATTATTTTGGGAGGGTTCTGAGCACATAATGAGGCTTATGGAAAGTTGCAGTACTCAGAGGAAAAATCTGCTTTCAACAAGCGAGGGGGGAACCCCAAAAAAGCTGGAGGGCTGGCTCCTTGTAGTACAGGCTTTCCCTGCTAGGTGTGTTCTAGGAACCCATCGGCATCAGTGTAATGGTTAGCATTGTTGTGAGAGGATATGTTCAATTTCAGTGAAGTTTTTTTTGGAGATTCTTTCAACATGTTTGCCCATTTAAAGATAGGCGATTTACCAGCACATCTGCACCGAGTGTTCAGCAGTTTTTGACCAAAACCAGCATGACCCCATGCCCCCTCCTTCCTATTCACCTGATCTCACCCCCAAACGACTTTTGTTTCCCTGGATTAAAAAAAACCCTCAAAGGGAAACATTTTGCCCTTGTGGAAGAGGTGAAACAAAAATCGGCAGAAGCACTAAAAGTCATCAAAACTGATGAGTCAGCCGGGCTCGGTGGCTCAGCCTGTAATCCTGCGCATTTGGGAGGCTGAGGTGAGTGGATTGCCTGAGCCTGCGGGTTCAAGACCCGCCTGGGCAACTTGGTGAGACCTCATCTCTACAATAAATAAAAAATGAGCCAGGCGTGGTAGCGCGCATCTGTAATTCTGGTTACTCGGAAGGCTGAGGTGGAAGGATCACTGGAGCCACAGCAGGTCGAGGCTGCGGTGGCCGGGAGCAGCCACTGCACTCCAGTCTGGGTGACAGAGTGAGACTCCAACTCAAAAAAAAAAAAAAACAACCAAAAAAACCCCTGATGAGTTTCCACTGTTTTGAGCAGTGGAAAAAGCAACTCAACAGGTGTATTGCATCAAATAGAGAGTACTTGGAAGGTGACTGAGGTTTAAACATGTAAGAATAAATACACAATTTTTATAAATAAATTATAGGGTTTTTTGGGTCCCCCTTCATATCTTGGTACATTTAGATACACAACTTTGAACATAAAATGTAAGAAACCCCTGTTGCCAGAGCCTTGGCCTATAACAGCTTCCACCACCATGATTATTCTAGAGTGTTCAGCTGGCATTACCCATGGGTTTCATCCTTAGAACCTCATTTATTCCGCCCAACAGCCCTGCAAGGGAAGCAGTTACCATCTCCCCTTTACAGAGGAGAGAACTGAGGAAGGGGCAGGGGCTTGTTGGGCACAAGCAGCTAATCCTAGAGACGGCTCTTGATGCCTGCAGTAACTGGCCCTACTGGGTCTGACTTGCAGCCAACTCCCAAGGCAAGGCCAGGCCCCAGCGCAGCTCCTTCAAGGAGCAAGACTACAAAGTTGACGCCCCCCAGAAGACGGACCTGGAAGAGGAGCCCTTCAGCGGTGCCTGGCTTCACAATAGCAAGCTGGACAAAGTTCCTGGGGCACAGGGGCAGGCCAAGTAAGGCTCCCTGCAGCCCGTGGGCCCCAGGATTGCATTGTAGGTTCCCACCCTGGGACCAGCCAGCTACTTTGCCCTTGCCCCACGGGCCTGTCTCCAAGGCTCATGAAAGCAGATGACTGCCAGACTCCATCCATCTGGTGGGTACTGTCTTCCTCCCCTCCCCTGGGAGTCCTGCAGTGTCCCCGTGCTGACCCAAGCCCACAAGAGGGACCAGAGGCAGCCCCTAAGTCATTTTATCAGGGAAAAGAAAAAAAAAATTACCAAAAAAACAGTGAGTGGGGTTCCTCGGCCTGATTGGATGAAGTTGGTTGGGTGTCTGGCTGCAGCCTGACGTTTGGAGGCACTGGGCTAGCAGGACAGAGCAGAACCAGGCTCTGTTGACTCCAAGTTTCTGGGACTGCCCTGGAACGTTTCACAGTACACACTTTGGGTAGTGCAACCAGAAGGACAGGCTTGTTTCTCTGCACAGTTCTCAGATTCCCTCAAGACAGGCCCCAAAGTGAGAAGTCCTGCTGGGTGTGGAGTCAAGACCAAGGGCAGCCTGGTGCTAGCTGGTCACCCTCTGAACTACATCTAGCATGCCATGCACCTTCAGAGGGAAGACAGGTCACAGTTGGTCCCAGAGACTCCCACCTTCTGCCAGAGCACTCTAGTCAGCGGGAGAATGTAGCCAGGCCCATGTCCCTACATGAGCCTCATACCAGTCTGGACATTCAGCTGCGGGGAGGTGCTGGGTGGGTGGTTAAATGCATCTGAGCAGGTCACCTGTGACTGCTACAATGACTGTTTCAGAGGTGAGGAATCAGAGGACTCGAACGCTGGGACCGCCTGGGTGGTAGGCAGCCAGCACAGGGGGAGGCAGCCGATGGGGGCGCTCTCCTTGAGGAATCTGCCCCCGCACCTGCGTAAGCCCACCACACTTCGGCAATGTGAGGTGGTCATCCGCCAGCTGTGGAACGCCAACCTCCTCCAGGCCCAAGAGGTGAGGCGCCCTGGGTGGGAGGACAGTCCTGGGCAGCCCTATACCCCACAACCCCCACCACCCTCCTCCCCCTGCCTTCCAGTTGCAGCACCTCAAATCCCTCCTGGAAGGGAGCCAGAAGCCCAAGGTTGCTCCCGAGGAGAACGGGCCTAGTTTTCTCAAGTGAGTACCCCGGCCTACTCCACCCCCGCCCCATCCCAGTGATCCCGGCTGCCTGGGGCTTACTGCTGACTTGTATCACCCAGGATCCAGGAGGCCACGCAGTTCCCCAAGGTCTCCTCCAAGAGTCTCTCTAAGAATTGGTGAGCCCCACTGGCACGGGAACTGTGGGGCAGCCTTTGCAGGGGTGCCTGCAGGGTGGGGGATCTGGGCTCAGAAGCAGAGCCGGTCATGGCCGTGCTGGGCTCTGGTCAGTGCCAAGCAGACCCCACTCACAGGTGGCTCTACACTTTCAAGAACACCTGAGGTGACTGTCCCTCTACCTGCCCCAGTCTGATTCTGAGCTCCAGGCCTGTGATGGAACGTGCCATCTTGCCCGCAAGGAAGCAGATGCTGAAGAGTAGCTTTGCTGAACGGCAGAAGAGGCTGCAGGTGGTGCAGAACCGGCGCCTGCACCGCTCCCTGCCCTGAGCCTGCCCCCCACGTGCCAAGCCCAACATTCATCATTTATTATGAAATGGGCTGGTTCTCAAATTGTCCAACGGCAAATTCTCATTAAAAGTAACTGTCTTAAATGGTGAAAACAATTTGGCCTTTTAAATGACAACTTGGAAAAAGCCTTCATATCTACAGCATGAATGGAATGTACTCTTAGAAAAGCTAGAGTGTGCGGGTTTGAAGTTGAAACACAGTGACAGATGTGGTACGAATGATGTGTTTCTAACAAGGCTAACAAAGATAAGGAGGAAGCAAAATACAGTTGTCAGTTATCTTACATCTTGCAAGACAGTCTGCTCAGGGCGCTTCTATTCTCGCCTACTGCTTCCCTGGGGACAGCTTAATGTACACGTGGAGATGGGTTCTATATTACATCTTGATGAGTCACTTCAATTGAAAGGTAATCTCAGCCCATGCCACATGGTGTTAGAAGTCTGGCTCCCCTTGGGGCTCAGTGGACTTCCTAGAACTACTCTTGGGGCTTTAGAGGAAGGTAGTGAATGAATATCCAGAAGCATCAGCCCATCCTTCACAAGGACTCTGGCGGTAATGGAGGGTGAGGTCACCACCACTTTCCCATATGAAGTGTTTCACTGTTCAAAGGTCCATATTTGGATCCAAAACCTGGTTCTGGGACAAAAGTTCATTTTCTTCTCTGCCAACACAGCAATATCCTCTTCTTTTTCCTGTTCTCTGGGTTTTTCATTATTAGAAGAGCTAGTAGTTTGAAACTCATTATCCAAGTTGATATTTTCTCATAAACATTTTCCATAACTTTTCGGACTTGGAGCCTGTGACTTACGTTTTGCTCCTGAAGATGTGTGAGGTTGGAGGTAGAAAGCAATTTTATTTAATTGGGGCATATTTTTATCCACATTGATGTCAGTTACCCATTGTGGCAGTATCAACTCAGCCAGGCATAGTGGCTCACACCTGTAATCCCAGCACTTAGGAGGGGTTGGAAGAGAGGATTGCCTGAGCCCAGGCATATGAGACCTCTTCTCTACAATAAATCACAAAATTAGCTGGGCGTGGTGGCATGCGCCTATGGTTCCAGCTACTTGGAAGGCGAGGCAGAAGGATCACCTGAATTCAGCAGGTGTGAGGCTGCAAGTGGCTGTGAGCGTGCCTGGGTAACAGAATAGGACTCTAACTCACACACACAAAAAAGAAGCATAGAGCCGGGCTCGTTGGCTCAGCCTGTAATCCCAGCACTTTGGGAGGCTGAGGTGAGTGGATTGCCTGAGCCCACAGGTTCAAGACCCGCCTGGGCAACTTGGCGAGACCTCATCTCTACAATAAATAAAAAATTAGCTGGGCATGGTGACGCATGCCTGTAATTCCGGCTACCTGGAAGGCTGAGGTGGAAGGATCGCCGGAGCCCAGCAGGTCGAGGCTGCGGTGGCCGGGAGCGGCCACTGCACTCCAGTCTGGGTGACAGAGTGAGACTCCAATTCAAAAAAAAAAGAAGCATAGACTTAGTCTCACATCTCACCCCCGGAATTTCGGCAGAGCAGCCTGACCTCCCACTTCACCAAAAAGCACAGAAGTGTGGGGCAGCACTTGAAAATATCCATTTTCCTTCTGTACTTGGTTCTTCTGCTCCCCATTTACATGGTTTACTTCATTTTCCTCTTCATCTATTGGATTCACATGTGTTCTAGACCAATATTCTAGGAGTGCTTGGAGTAAAAGTCCTCCTAAATTCAATTTTGGATCTGATTCTTCATGGCTACAGAAACCAGCATCTTTTTTAGCTATAGTCACTCTCATCCAAAGTAATAGTCAACATTGCTGTTTTTAATTATTCTGAGAACCAATTTGGCACATACACCATTTAAAATCTTTTCTTAATTTCATCTTCAAAATCTACTTTGCCCATATCTTCAACTTTATATGTACATGCCTTCAGTACAATATGCCATATTATTGGTATCTTTGATACGTCTCATCATTAAGAATGTGAACTGAATAATAGCATCCCCTTTAATAGCCTGGCCAGGCTGCATACAAGGGGTGTTATAGGGTTTGCATGGTCATTGTCATCATCTCCAGAGGCTCTGAAATTCCCTTCAATGTCCATTTGTTTATTTAGACTTAGGTGTTGCCACCCAGATTGTGGGGGAGGGGGGATCAGCTGATCTATCAAGCTCCATCTTGAGAACTGGTGCTTTTTCTTCACAAATTTCTTCACCATTGTCAGGGCTTCTCAGGTCTGTACAATAAGTCTTCCTCCAGAACATACATGTGTGAAAGCATCACTGACTTGCAGGGTCCAACTCCTGCATCATGAACTCAGTTTGTTGCTATACATCTCTGCTGACCAAAGGCAAATAGTCCCATCAGAACTGCTGGAAAGGCACTGTGTGCCATCTCTGTTCAATAGCAGTGCTTTTACATTATCTGTGTGCTCCTTGACCTTCATTAGTTTTGCATATGTTCTTGGATCTCATACTCTTCTCAGTGGACTCTGATACAATGATTGTTCCCAGATGATTCATGGCCAGGCTATAAATGGAATCTTTGTCCTCACTTAAAGAAGTTGTGACAGTGTTCTTTGAGGCAGTCAATGCTGTTAGAATATTCACATCCCAAAGGAATATTTGTCCAACTCAGCTGATGCTGCCAGTTTTTTATCCTTGGCATATGCTAAGGCCTTTACATAATCTGTGTCTTTTATGTTGACATACAAAATCCCTTAAGTGCATTCCATACTTTTACTGTCATATCAAAAGAAGTAGATATTAGTGTTTTTCCATTACAAGAGAGTCCAATGTCATTTACTCAATCGGTGCGGTGTTCCATAGATGCTATAAATAGATCTTGCTTGTGCTGATTGGCACTCCACATTTGGGTGATGGAGTCTCAGCCGGCTAAGGAAAGTCTATTATAGTGCTGGATCAAGTTGCAGGGCATTGACTCCATTTCTACTGTACTTCTCCACTTCATCTCTAATAACATAGAAAACTTTGTACTTTCTACTACCCTGCTGTGTTCTGAATTCTACTACTTTTAAGCCAAGCTAAGTTCCAAAATAAAGCTCATGAGAGATAAAACACTTGATCTCCAAATTCAGGAACTGTTTTTCTTGCTACTATTTTGCTACTCAGCATTTACACAAAAGCATACTACGAAGGGAGTATTCTCTTACCTGTTGAAGAATGAACATAAAGCCTGCTTCTCTCCATGTTGTGTGTCTTGTTCCTCACTGGCTGTCAGCCATCCCTTCCCAGTCCTTATCCCCAGCCCAGCTCCCTGATAGTCTGGAAAGGACCTACCTGAACAGCTAGGTTTTGCTTTCCCAGGACCTGGCAGCTATCCCAGAAATAGAGAAGCACTGGTAAAGGCACATATGCCTTTCTTGGAGGCCAGACACATGGCTACTTTCAGTCTCCTGCCCAGACTGGACACTCCAGGGGCCAGATGCTGCCTCTCCTTCTCATCAGAGATCTGGCTGAGCTGGTCTTCCTCTTTGGGGGAGCGATGTCTCCAGATCACTATGTCCAGGCCCACACCATCCCCTCCATTACCAGCACAGCAGCTACCACCATTATCTGTGCTGGTCAGACTACTGCTCACCCTTGCCTGGATGGCAGTCCTTCCAGTCCCACAGTCCCATCTCCCTGGCATGCATCTCCGTCTCTTCCTGCTTTAGGAAGCAGGAACTTTGCCAGAACCTGGGAATGAACCAGGCTGAGGAACAGGAACTGTGTCAGACAAGGGAGCCAAGGTCTGGGGCGTCCATGGTCAGACTGGACACTACCAGCTCCAAGGCTGACAGCAGGCCCTAGATCCATGGAGAAGGGGACACAGTGACAAACTGACAAACACAGGAATAATAAATTTATTGTAAGAACCACAGATGATGGGGTAGTGCACATAAAAAGGAGGAACCTCTCATCACCAGAGGGCTGGCTGGTGCCCAGAGTGGTGGGCAAAACAGGAAGGTGCTATGTGGCCCCATCCCTGCAGGGGGCCCATGCTCTTGAACGGCACAGAGCATGTGGTGCTCTGAGGATGCCACATCCCGAGGACATCACTTTTTATTCTTCACAGTGGGGACATGGCTCTGGACTGAGAGTTGCACAGGAGTACCTGGGATAGGATCCCTTGACGCCCTGCTCCTTGATCACCCCACCGTGCTGAGTAGGAATGCCATGAGGGCTGAGGCCCAGGTGGAGGCAGGGAGCTAGCAGCACCTGCAGACCTCCCAAGAGGCAGCCTGTGCCCTGGACCCGGGAGCTTCTCCATGGTTGCCCCGTTTGGTAAAAGTGGCACAGCCTGAACCCAAAACCACGATCAGAAAACCGTGTGTGTCTTAAGGGTTTCCTATGTCCTCTGTGTTCTCCTATAGGAACAAGTAGAGGTGTATTCTAGCACACACATGAGGCTCAAACAAGACCCTGAGTTGTGCTGCTGAGAATGGACCCGGACCGGACCCTGGAAAGGCCGCAGTAAGAGCAGCCTGAGGATCGTGGTCAAAGGTGTGTCTGACTCCTTGAGGAAATTGTGTGGAGAATCTTCTTTGAGAAGACGGCAGCACCCCCACGCAGTCAGCTCCTGTGTCAGTTCTGTACAAATGTGGGAATTTCATCTGGCAGGTCCCCAAGGCAGAAGATAAAAGCAGGAAAGCTAACCTAACCCCAGGCTCTCTAAGGAACTGACACCTAGAAATGTCCAACAGGAGGTGTGTGTCTGCAGCCCTGATGAGGCTGCTGGCTGTCCCTCAGTCCCAGCTAGGCGGCCGAGAGGCAGGCCTGGTGGACGCTCTGGGCCCAGGTGTTGAGCAGGGCGGTGACCGAGTGCTTGTCAGGGAGTTGCAGCAGCCTCGAGGTCATGCAGCGGTGCACCGACTGCAGGAAGGGGTTGGCGTCTGTAACAAGCAGTGGGCTGTGAGTGTGAGGCTGCCAGTACCATACCCGCACCTGGCCTGCTAGCAATGCTCTCCTGCACATGGTCAGCTGGTGGGCTCTTCCCCAGAGCCTCAATGTCAGTGAAGAACTGGAATTTGAATAGGATCTGGAGCCCAGAACTTTCCCTCTGTGAAACCCTTGGGAACCCAGTCCTGATTCTGCTGAGTGCCAGCTCTGAGTATCAGAGAAACTGCCCCCCACCAATGGGACTCTCTCTGGGTCACATCACCCAGATGGGTCCCCATGAGCCCAATCTCCTGGCAGTGTCCATCAGCCCTGCTGAGTCACAGTGGCTTCTGGCAGAACTGGGTCTGTCCTTGAGTTGTAGGCTTATACATGCCTCACCTACTGAACACAGCTGTCCTGCTGCAGGACGGAAGGGCAGATGAAGGTCAGAGACCCTTTTCTCTCCATGTGACCACTGAGAAACCAGATCCTATCTGCAGGGGCATCTAGAAGAGGGGAGGGAAGGCCTGGCTGGGGAGGTAGGAGGGGCACTGAGGCTGTCACTGCTGCACAGGAAATCCTGCTTGCCCAGAATTACCCCTGCCTGCCCTGGGTCCTCCGATGGTCCTCTGGGTTCACGTACCATACTGCCACTGCCGGTTGATCCACAGCGGGCTCTGAGCAGGGTAATCAGCAGGCACGCTGAGCTCTAGTGGGGGTACACTTGGGAGGTCCTTGTCATCTGCAATACACAAGACTGTACCTGTGGCTTGGACTAGCCCCAGCCTGCCCTGGCTTACAGCCCTGCTCCAAAATAGGATTCTTCACACCCTGGAAGGTTCTTGTGAGCTTGCTACAAGGCAGCCTCTAGATTTCCATTCATGGAGGCCTGAGTGCTCTGCGTGGATGGATGCCCAGGGTCCTAGCCTCTCTCACCTCAGGGCTCCAGGCAAGCAGAGCCACATCTGTGTGGGGAAGGTCAAAGGGTCTGGGCTGGGTGTGTTTGAACAGGCAGCCTGGCTGGTCATGAGGGTAGGGGTGGGCTCTGCAGACTCTGCGCCTTTCAGCATAAGCAGCAGAGTCCAGGGATTGCAGTTGGGGTTTCCTGTGCCAGCCCTTGCCCTCCCTGGATACTCACCCAGCTTGCATATCAGGTGGACGGTGCCATTGTTGCTGCAGTGAGAAGGGTCCAAGTTCACCAGGAACTTAGGGTCCAACCTGGCTACCTCACCCTGGAGCACACTGGGGATACTCTGCCGCTCATCCTCCTCAAGCTTGCGCTTCCGGGTACACACTACCGGGGCCCTGAGAAGGCACCATGGTGACTACATTGGCAACACACATCCATGGCTGACTGGCCCAAGGCTGAGCCCGGGATGTACATACGTGATGGGTGGGCCGTGGATGGCTGTCATGGCTGGTACAAACGTGCGGTAGAGGGAGTGGTTGAAGACAGGTGAGCGGATATTGGCCAGGACGGCATCCAGAAGTGGCTGGCACAGGTACTGCTGTTTGGTTGGCGGCACTGGGGGTGGTGGGGGTGTGGGCTGGAGACAGGATGGGCGAGGTTAGCAGCCTGGGGCTCCAGGGCTCACCCACTCTTAGGGGGCCTTCCTGACTCCAAGGCCCTCACCCTGAAAGCCAGATTCCCGAGGCTTCTCTCACAACCTCCAGTCCTGTGCAAACAATGTGGCCGATCCTGGACACAATCCCCTGCCCCCCAATAGCCTTGCCCTCTCCCAAGTCCCTATTCCCCAGGGCTAAGAGGCACAAACAGAGGGTGAATTCTCCCACATTCTCACCCTGTAGATGGGAAATTTCTTGGGAAGGGTTCCCAGGGTAGGCCCTGACTGTGACGGTCCTTCCCAGCTTATGCTGTACATGCTGAGGGGTGAGCCCTAATCTCTCCAGAAGGGCCTGGCACACCACTCACCACTGCCATGTCATTCTTGAGTTTCTCCAGGGCGATCTCACACTTCTGCAGGGTCTTCAGGGGACACCTACAGGGAGAGGGAACAGGGCTGACCTCCAAGCTGAAGGGCTGGGAGAGCTGGTGGCTCTTGGGCTTGGACCCAACCACCGCCTGCTAGGTCTTCTTTGGAAAGCTCTGTAGGAACCTTGGTCAGTTGACCAGCTATGCCCAGACCCAGAGTCTAAGGCAGGCAGTCCTCACCCCCAGGAGCTGCCCGTTCTGGTTGTCAGGACAAGGCAGTGGGTCAAGGAGAAGGGTAGAGGCCAGGCTCCTGATAAGGCTGGGTAGCCTCAGTTTTGACTAGGCCAAGCACTGCCCTCTGTATTCTTATAACCCCAATGAAGGATCAGCCCCAGGTGGCCTGGGGGGCCATCCAGCAGTGATCAGCATTCTACCTAGATAATCGGAACAAGGAGACACTATGCCGAGGCGGCGAGATGAGAGGGAAGTACACTCGGGTGCTGCCCAAGCTCTGGTGCTCACAGCAGCCTGTGGCCGGCAGCCCTGTCCTCCACCTGTTTCTCAGAAGTACCATCTTGTTTTATTTTTACAAAGCACATGCAGGCTGCAAAGGGAGTACCTGAGATGCGGTCACCTGCCCACGGAAACCAGCAAATTTCAAGGGCAACAGTGAAGGTCAGACTCAGGCCCGTCATGGCCAGCTGACAGGTCACCACAAGCCAGAACCTGGCCACTGGGGGAGTAGGGGAGAGTTTGGAGTGCCAGCTAAGGGAAAGCTCTGGCTTGGAGCGCCAGCACACACACTTAAGTGGAGCCTCAGGGGCCTCTGGCCAGGCCCAAAGAACTGCCTGGCACCTTCACTAAACCTACATCATCACCGAGTCATGGCGTTCCATGGCTGGCCCAGTCACACTCTTGGGGACCCGCTGCAGGTTACAGGCACAACGCTTCCCTTCCCCAGGCACCTGGGCAAAGCTCACCGCTTAGAGGGGTCTGTCAGAATGTCCAGAAGGCTCTTCATCTTACTCAGGTCCTTTTTTCTGTCTGGGACAGAAGAGGAAACCCTAAGACACTAGCCCTGGGATGTCCTCGGCCCCCGCCCTGTCCCAGCCCACAGCCCACCTTCGTTCTTGTCAATCTTGTTGATCATGCGGCGCAAGGGCTCGATGTACTTGGACAGCTGCTTCAGCTTGTCCAAATACTGCTGCTCCTCGGCCTGGCTAGAACCAGCTGGGCTCATGACGGAGCTGGGGTTCACTGCAGGACAGGACACAGCCAGGTGAGGTTGCAGTCTAAATCTCCAGGTGGGACACAGGCACACCCGGTACAACTCTCAGCATCTCAACTTGCTGGGCCACTTACTTCAGGTCACATGCTGGGGCTCTGGGCCTTAGGCTGTGCTCACTCCCACCCCAGGCCCGACTTACCAGGAGTGTTTAAAGGTCCAGGTGAGGGGACGCTGAAGTTCTGTGGGGTGCGCGCCGTCACTGGACTCTGGGAGGGCTGCGGTGAGGGGCTGGGCAGGAAGCTACTGGGGGATGGGGCAGGGCCAGAGCTGCAGCAAATCAAAGGAAATGTGTATGAGCTGGGGCTAGACAGGGCCTGCCCAGAAGGCCAGGCAGAGGAGGGCACCCCCGGCCAGGCCTACCTGACGTTGGAGTTGGGCTGCGAGCTGGGTTGGCCAGGCTGCGGGGACGGCTGGGGGGGAGGGGGCATCGATTGCGGTGTCTGCACCTGCTGGCCCGGCGACGGCGAGGACAGCATGGGGAGGCTGCTTTGGCCAACCTGGAAGCGGAGGGGCTCAGCCGGTGCACTGCCACATGCCCGCTAGCCTCCATGCCACCTGCCCACCGCATGCACAGGCCCTTCCTCCCTCACAACTTTACCACACATACTTGTCTTCTTCCGGATGCCACCCAGACACACACATAGGCATGTACCCCCATCCCTGACACCTAGCACGCTGTGATGAGGGGCTGGCAGGAGGGCCAGCCCTTGCTCCTTGGTGGGGACGCCATGAGGACACAGGTTTCTAGGTTAGGGGTGCAAGGAGGATAGCAGAGGAGGCAATGGCCTCGACTCATACCAGCCTGGCCTTCCTTTCCATGCCTTGCCTGCAACGCTCTCCTCTGTGGGTCAGTGAGGACCCTGCTGTGCTGACTGGTGGGACCATTTTTCTAGCACACTTCCACGAGTCCTGTGGCCTTCCCACAGGCCATCTGTTATGAGTAACAGGTGCAGGTAATTCCACCCTACCGAGAAGCTACAGGGTAGCTGTGTCCTACCTGAACCTGCTTAACTGGAGCAAGGTGGCCTGAGAAGCCACATACACACTCATGGTGGTGGTATCTGTGTTGGCCTGTACCAGCATCCCGGCCCTGACCGACGTCCCTTCACTAGATAGGCAGAGTACACAGGGAGAGGTGAGCAACTCAGCATCACAGCCTGTTTCTGCACTCAGGGTATGTGTCCCAAATCCTCAGAGGCCTCATCCCTGTCTGCTCTCTGGGCTGCTCTCTGCTCCCAAGTCTTGTTGGGGATAACACAAATAGGGCCAGCTGTACCACTGACCACACCAGGGACACCACTGTCTTATTCTGTGAACTCCAAGGGATAAAACCACACTGTGCAGGCAACAGGGACAAGGATGTGAGATACCCACACCTTTTAGGGGAGGAGCACATGACAGTAGCACTGACAGGGAGGACAGATGAGTGCTAGCTCTGGTTGCCCAGCCTTCCCCGAGGGACCCTCAGCAGAAAGACTGCCTTGCCAGTGCTGGGGATGGCGGCCACACTGGAGTCACATTGAGGGCCCTACTGTCTTCAGAGGTCCCTAAGGGCTCTTTGTGGCATCACCCTCTACATGCCAAAGTCCCCTCACAGCCTGCTTCTGGGAAGCCTGGCCTCACCCTCTCACAGCTCCTGGACTATCCAGCTCTGCAGACCAACTCACTTCTCCTGGGCACTCTGGTCACGGATGCTTCTCTGGGTCACAGGTCATCTCCCTACCCCATGTGCCTCTGCCATAATGCTGGGAGTGTTGATTACGGTTGACCCCAGCTGATTGCTGTTTTCTCAGCTCCTCAGATTGGGAACCAGCTCCAGAGCCCACAAGGAAACCAGCTGCCTGCCATCCTCACTGCCATACCAGGCAGGGGAGGGTATGGTGGCACTGCCCTTTCTCTCAGCATCACCTGGACCAAGCTCCTGGAGTGAAACGCTGTTTTTCCCCTGCCTGTACCCACTGGGTGTGCCCAACAGCACTGCCCGGGATGCTGGGAAACAGGCTGCTCCTGGGGCCACGTGTGCTGGGGGATAGGGGCTCCAAGGAACAGGGTGCCATGCATAGATGGCACTTCCAGAACAGCAGAATAAGAGGGAGCTCGGGCCTCAGGCTGCTGGGCCTGGTCACTCTCCTGAGTGGAGCAAAATGGTTCATGGTGATTCACACTGATGTCAGCAAGGTCAAAAACAGGGACTAGAACTAACTTCATTTCACCAAGGGCTGAGCTGAACAAATGCAGCAGGTTTTTCCCACACGGGTCTCATGTGTTCATGGTGCTGGGGTGCACAGTGAGTCCTGGGGGGTGCGGCACATCACACATACTGGAAAACATGCTTTAGAATCAACCCAGGTGCTGAAATCCCAGGACCAGAAAGTTCCACACAGAGAACCACAGATGGAACCAAGGAGATGAAAGCAAAGGCCCTGGGATCCCCATGCCCAGCCCAGTTCTGTCAGGCACAGCCTACCCTGCGATGGAGTCACTCCTAAAGCCCCGCCCCTCACATGCCCGACTTGCTGCTACCTTCTGCCTGTACTCTTGAAAGATGCCTCACAGGTCGCCCCATTCTTTCAGCCCGAAGGTCAACCCCCCTAGCGCTTCCCTCTCTAACCACTGGGTGCCACCTGCCCCTGCCTGCCCCCAAGAGATGCCACTGCCTCTGCCAGAGCAGTTGTCCCTTCTAGGTGGTCAGCTCTCGTCTGCAGCCTAAAGCTCAATGCTTCTCTGAAGGTAACAAGGTACCTGCAGGGAATCATGGCTGGGCAGAGGCTGCTGCAGCAGGGAAGACAGCTGCACAGTCCATGTTCCTACTAGAATGTTGAAAAAGCCCTCAGCACTGAAACCTCAGGGAAACATCCTTGCTCTCGGTGAGGGCAGAGCAGCAGCAGGTCTAGGACATGGCAAAGAGCGGCCAACTGGAAAAGCCTCTGGGGAGGCAGAACACCCAGACCCAGGCTCTTCCCTCCAGGGACTCCCATGGGAAGCACATGCAGTATGATGGGTGCAGCTCCTCTGTGAGTCCTCTGTCCCTCCTAGGTGGCAAGTCTCCGCCTTGACCTGTCTCGCTTGTCCTGGGTACACCCTGGAGCTCGGCCACCAACCATCTTACTTCTCTCACCTTAATATGGCCTGGAAGCTTCTTCTTAAACTCTCTCTCCAGGGTCCAGGTTGCCTGGCCTGCCTGGCCTGCCTGGCTGGCAACCCACTCCGCTGTGCCTATGCTCTCAGGGAGTCCTCTTCCAGGCCAGACTTGGGCAGCCCATCTGCCCCTCCGAACCTCAGGAAATCCAGCACCCCCCTTTGGCACCTGCAGTGGTAGTCTCGCTAGCTGTGACGATGGGACCCTTGGGCACCAACCTATCACATAAGTCCATTTTAGTACTTCAGTTGTCCCAAGCCAGGGCAACTGGCAGCCAGCAGAGCTCAGAGGACAGGAGGCAAAAGAGAGATTCCAGTGGGGGGTGGGTGGGGGAGGGGGAACCAAGAACAGGAAACCAGCCCCTGTGCACAAGTGTCAATGCCAGGCAGCCTAAGTCCCAAACCCAAAGTTGCCCCAGACACGCCTGGGAAGGGAAGCAGCACCCCAAAGACCTATCTCAAGACAGAACTGACCTAGCAAGGTGGACAGTGAGGTGAGAAAGAACCTCCTGGCCTCTGGACTTGTGTCAGGTCTGGTCTTTGATCAGAGAGGAAGGAGCCGGTAGTGCCTCTCTATTCTGGGAACAGTCGCTGGTGGGGACAGTGGCTGGAAACTAAAGGGAACTGCTGTTCTGTGCTGTCTACTAGGGTCATGGTCTGCAAGTGGCATGGGCATAGGTCTGTCATAGCTATTAGTAAAAGCCACAGGAAAAGAATGTCACAGCTCCCAGGAAAGGAGCTTGCATACTACCTGTCACCTGGCATCATAGCTAGGAACACAGGAGCTCAGAAGGAAGTGACTTGCTCAAGGTCACACACTTAGTGTGGCGAGGGGAGCCCAGGCATGCCAAATGTCTGCCTAAGCAGCCATTACACAATCTGCTTTCCAGTAAGTTGGCCCCCATGGCAGCTGGAGCAACTGAATGGGAAGGCAGGGGACACAAGGAGCAGGGAGGACAGAAGACGGTAGGGCAGAGGAGCAGTAAGGCTGGTCCAGGAAGCTTCAACCCCACAGGAGCCTCAGGCAAGACTGGCGGTTCACACATACCTGGAACTGCCCTTGCCCCCGGCTCCAGCACTCAGGGTGTCCGCTGGAATCACTCCCAAGAGCACAGCAAAACATCATAGCAATGCCTGCTTATACCTGCCAAAGTAGCTTTGGGACAGGGACCCATATCATCCCTTGGACCAGGCACTATGTCCAGCACATGCCTGGCACCAAGTCCTGCTTAGACATGGTAGCCTGAGTCTGTGAGGTATCCCCACCATAACAGGAAGTGCAGCCATGGGACACAAGTACAGAGAAGGACTTGGCAGGGAGACTGATGGAATACTTGCACTCCCACTCTCTGTTCTGTTTTCTTGGACCCAATTTATTGCCACAAGGAAAGAACAAGAGCAGACAGGCAGAGCAGATTCCAAACTGCATCCTGCTGAGAGGGCAGGTGGTCAGAGAGGAGAGTGGCCACAGGATGCGCCACCTAGACAGGCTGGAATTGGCAGGCGCCGGCTGAGTTCAGGGATACAGGTCCCAGCTGGGGTCATTGGTGGGCAAGCGTAGGGCAGTTTCTGGTGAGGATTTACAGGTGAGTTCCTGGGATAAACTCTCTTCTCGGAAGGGACCAGATTAGAAAGAGAATGACACGAATACAACTGCACACCGTTTTTGGGCCAGCTCGTGCGGCCAGATGAATGCTCGTGGCGGAGACCAGGGTGCCTCCATCACCAAGGTCAATCCACAGCCAGGCATACAGGAGGTTGCAGGGCAAAGCCTGGCGTCCTGGGTCATTGTGTCATTGGGGAGGGCCGGCGAGAGAGCCTCCCTGCAGGGAAGGCTGGAACAAGGCCGGGCTGCAGAGCAACTGCCTGGGCAGTGGGGAGGCCTTCGCTCCAGAGTCTCTCCCCCTTGGCTTTTCTCCCTAAGAGTTTCCAGGGTCTCCTTCCGCTCAGATGATGAGCATGAATGAGCCTGCCTTAAACAGCAGAAACAAACAAACCAGACCTTTTCCCAGTTCCGTGCCTTCCTTTCATTTTTCCAGAAATTCTGTGGCTTTAGTTTACTGCTGGGAAGAGTATTTCCTAAGTTCTGCTGCATTTGTCCTCAATGTTCCACTCCCAAAGTTCAGTGTACCCCCCACCACCAACACTTATGGGTAGAACCTAACAAATAAATCTTCCTGCAATGATGCTGTCACTCACCCACATAGTGCAACGAAGAGGAGCCAGAATTCTCCATGGCATTTATTTCAAGCACTAACTTTATTTTGGTTCCATCTCTCTTCCCCTCCACCTAACTTCCTGGTCTTTGGTGTTGGGAGTTACCATAGACATTGAGACTTATTAGCTGACACAACATGGAGGCAGACTTGATGTGGAAGGGGCCAGGGAAGGCCGGGGAAGGGGAGAGCGAGATTTGGGGATGGGTGAGAGAAAGGGGGTACCTGGGGGAAGTCAGAGGGAATGCCAGCAGCTGGGTGTGGGAGTGGCTATGCCACAACAGAGTGTGGGCAGCACCAGGCCTAGGATAGAGTCTGACACTGCGGAGGAGTTGAGGGAGCACATTGAGGAGGGTAGGAGGATCCAGAAAACCAGGAGGAGAAGCAAGGTTGTCAGCTCAGAAGGAAGAGAAGGACTGAGGGATTTCCAAAAGGATCCTGAGCACCACAGTTCCCTATGGCCCCCTCAGTCTGTAAAAGGAGCTAAATACTTGAATTATGAACTGTGATGCAGTGAGAACCAGTGAGATTCTGCACAAAGAACTTAGCTCAAGACCTGGCATGTGTCACACATTAAAAATTTTGGGGACTTTTTTGTTTTTACAAAAATAGGTCCTACAGGTTGGGTGTAGTGGCTCAAGCCTGTAATCCAGCACTTTGGGATGCTGAGGCAGGAGGACTACTTGAGGTCAGGAGTTTGAAACTAGCTTGGGTAACACAGTGAGACCTCATCTCTACAAAAAAAAAAATTAAAAATTACCTGGGCATGGTGGCACACACCTTTGTCCCAGCTTCTCAGGAGGCTGAGGCGGGAGAACTGCCTGAGCCCAGGAGGTCAAGGCTGTAGTGAGCCGTGATCGTGTCACTGCACTCCTGCTTGGTCAACAGTGAGACCCCAACTTAAAAAATACATATCAGTCCTACATCCTTCTGTTAAAGTCATTCCCCAAAATGAACAACCTAGCCTGACTCTGTGAACCCAATGGATACTGCACCAGAGGCTATGGAAGAGGACAAGAAAGAAGTAGTTCTGGCTCACAGAGTGGAGAGCCCAAAGGGACCTGGGCAAGGAGATGCTCGTCAGCAACATGTGAGCAGGTACTGGGGCTCAGGGCAGGTGCCTGGGGCACTGTGTAGCCTCCAGGCATGGGGAGCTGTACCTGAGGTCTACCCTGGCCCCAACTTCTGCTCCTCTGGAGAGCTCTCAAAAGAAGCCTTTTTATCAGCAGATTCCAGTCACTTCCCACAACCCACAGCTACCAAAGGAAGGTCAATGCCAATGAATTCAAATTCTAGTCAGTGACAAACTACGTAAATGGCACATCTGGGGTAATCCTGGGGGTTGGAATGCAGGGAGGGTGAAAACTGACTATGTCCCCAAATGGCAATGCCTCAACCTCAAGAGGGCCCTCATTCTCTTACAGTGTGTGGCACAGAGCCTGGGGACAGATGGACCGGCGACCTCCCTGGCTCAGCCTCTGCTTCCTCCTCCACAGAACCAGGCTGCACCTGGCCCCTCAGGGACGGACAAGGACTATTGTCCTTGATTATAGAGCTGTTTTCCCTATGACAAAAACTGAATTTTCACAAAAAACCCACTAAATAGAAAGCCTATATGATTAGAAAACTTTAGTACCATTTTATTTTCAGCAACTTAGAACGTGCCTGGCACACAGAATGCAGGTGGCAACTATGTGTTAAACAAATATATATACCATGAAATAATTATAAATTCAGAAGCTAAAGGAAAACCAAGAAGTCATATCCCTTAAAGCCATAATGAGGCTGGGTGTGGTGGCTCATACCTATAATCCCAGCAATTCAGGAGGCCAAGGCGGGAAGATCACTTGATCCTAGGAGTTCAAGACCAGCCTGAGTAACATATTGAGACCATCTCTACAAAAAACTTAAAAAATTAGCTGGAAATTGTGGTGTCGCCTGTAGTCATAGCTACTTGGGCGGCTGAAGTGGGAGGAACGCTTGAGCCCAGCTCAAGGCTGCAGTAGTGACCTATGATTGTATCAGTGTGCTCCAGTCTCAGCAACAGAACAAGACCCTGTCTCTTAAAAAAAAAAAAAAAAAAAAAAAAAAAAAAAAAGACTAGGAAAAAAAGGTGTAATGTACAAAGAAGTCTATGTCTACCTAGAAAAGGAGGGGTGTGTATGTGGTGGGGTAAATTCCACACTCTATGCAGCAAACTCTATTATAGCATGACCCAACACCACTTTTGGTCATGGTGAGCACGTTTTGGAATCTATGCTGTCCAATATGACAGCCACTAGCTTCCCTCTGGTCGATCGAGTGCTTGAAATGTAATTAGTGCAACCGACAAACTGAATTTTATTTAATTTTAGGTAATTTAAATAATTTAATGTAAACAGCCACACATGGTTAGTGGCTACACTATTAGACAGCCCTAGAAAGCAAGCCTATTTGCTTATCTTGTTTTATTTTACCATGAAAATGACAGCAGCATAACTTTTTATACTGAAAAGACCCAGACATTTATTAATATCCTCTCAAGAAACGCAAGCTGGGCTTGGCTTCGTTTTTTTTTTTTAAAGTGACACTTGGTTTGGCACTCTGAAAGCCACCATGAAGGAAGTCACCAATGATGATGGGTGTGCTTTACAAAGGCACTCAGAGGAAGCCCCGAGCTCCCAGCTGTGCCCTGGGTGCTGCCCCGTAAATACCTGTGCCATGGGCTGTCTGCCCAAAGGGATGGAGCTTGATGGGACGGCAGACACAGCGGTGGTGGGCGGGAACCGGGCTCTTACGTGCATCCCGCCTTGGGCCAAGGCTTCCGTGATCATCTTTGAGGACAGAGGGACAACAGACAAGGTGATCGCAACAAAGAAACGTAGTGCACAGCAGGTGGAGAGGGCATGTGCAGCCCCTGTGAGAGGGAGTGCCCCTGTGAGAGGGTGAAGGGCACTTGGGTGGCTTGGGGCAGCCTGAGAGGGGAGGTGTGCTGACTTGTTCAAGCTCATAGCATCTCCAGGCTCGTCTAGGCACTGGGAATCTAGAAGAAATGCCAAGAATGCTACTTCCAGACCTTTCTATTCTACTGGCTGCTCTCTTCACTGGTTGTCCTGAACACACCTCTGAACTACTGACAGACCATCATTCTGTGGTCCACAGAGTGGTCAAAACCAGACCTTGAGGGCCAAGGGTGTGTCTGTGGGAGATCAGGCATCTGGGGACAGACTTCAAGAGTACATTCCACCAAAACTTGCTATGAGAACAATCAGTCATCAGATCTACAACAAAAGGTAAGCTCAGGTAAGCCAGCTCACAGCATCTTTCCTTCCCAGCAGCACACCTCTTAGGACCCAAACCCAAATCATCCTCATCTCTTCCAGGCCTTTCTGAGGTTGCTGGTCCTGGTGTCTTTGAAGAAGTGGTTTTCTTTCATAAACAGGGGGAAGGTGTCTGGGAGTCACCCTTTCCTGTGAGGATGCTCACCCCCAGGGATGCAAGTCAAGTCTATTCCTAAACATACATAGGTGACTGCAGTCAGGAACTGCAGCTCATGCTGGAACCTCTCTCCTTAACAATCATTTATTCTTGACCTATAAATGCAGCAAGACAGGCTAAGCACTGCTGTGTGTCTGGGTCTGGCCACTCTCCCTCTGGGTTCTGAGTTGGAGGAGGGAGCCTAGCCAGGTCCCTGGACAACAGCGCCTGCATGTGCTCAGAATGGCTACAAAGTAGAACAAAACAACATGGCCAGGTTCAAAGAGAAAGTAGGACTGATCCATGGAAAAACAAAACATCTTATTATGGGAGGCTATGAACTGGGTCATGAGCTCCAGGTGGTACTGCCGGCCTGCATGCAGTGAGGGGACCAGGGTCAGAGCTCCAACAGGAGAGCAGCCATGGAGAGACCTATTTCTCATACGTGTGGCCCATGCTCACACCCATGGGCGCATGCAGCAGGCACTACAAGCCAGGGGTGATATGGCATAGGGGATGCCAACCAGAACCACACTTCTAGGAGGTTGGGGAAAAAAGCAATCCCAAAGGTGTCTGCCAAAATGCACGCATGACCCTGAAGAGCCCATCACCCCATGGTCACACACAAAGGGGGACATGGGTCAGCGGTATGCAAGGGCTTCAGGGTATACTTGGGAGAGCCCACTGCCTGCACTGTTGGTGGGGCTGAAAATGACTCTCTCCTGGGTCCAGCTCTCAGCAGAACTGGGGGTGACAGATGGCAGTAAGAGGTCATTTCTACCCAGCTGCTGTGCTTCAGAGAAGCCTGTTTGAGAGTGCAGTGTCGGCTCCACAGTGCTCCTTCCAGAAGGGAGAAAGATCTGGAAGTAAGTCAGGAGGTATGAGAGATGTGAGCATTTTTCCAAGAAAGAAAAAAAGTAATAAAGAATAAAAAGTAGCACTCGTGACAAATTATATATATATGTGTATATATATATATTTTAAAAGAGGGGAATGAAAAGCTTAAATCTAATCTGCTACTGACTGGTTTTCTTATAATTGCAAACTACTGATTAGGAAAGCTCAGTTTCTCCAAACTATCAATGCTAAAGCAAACACCCCAGTCATGGTTATTGGACCAGAGGAGTCAGACAACTACTAGCCAGAACTCACTGCCAAGTGACTACACTTCCCTACTTTCCAACACACATCTATAGAGAGAGGAATTCAAATCTCCCTCCCCTACTCCAGGTCTAACTCCTCCACTGTGGCCACAATGCAGAGGGCCCAGAAGGAGCAAAGAAGGTCCTCCAGGGTGGCCAAGGCTTCAGAACAGCAATGAATCAGTGACGCGTCGCATGCACATCTATAACAGGAGTTTATTTTAGATGACAATTCTTCATAACTTGTACATTACAGTTAAATCTTCACATACTAAAAGAATAGCAGTTTAAAAGACAAAACCATAGGGACATTTGACAATGGAGATGCATTCTATCACAGTTTTACTGAAAGTGAGAAAAAGAAGTGTGTTGTGTCCTGGTAGGTACCCTGTGGGTGACCCTGTCCTTCTCAGCTGCATGAATGACAACGCGTAAGAGAGAACCAGGTACATGCAGTACAGAGCTGACTAACTTTCCTAAAACGTTCAGTCCTAGGTTGAGAGCCTGGTCACTCATCATTACCACGGCATCAGGAAGGGCTTGGTGGGACATTTCTTTTCTGCTCTGAGAGAGTAGACTTGAGACAAGGCAGGGAAAGCTGCCTGCTTGGGCCCCCAGTGCCAGCATTTCTTTCATGGAACTGGAGGCCTGTTCCCACAGTGTGTGCAACATGGGGTCACTGCGTACTGATGTCCAATGTGTGAGCACCACATGGGGAATTCCAGTCTGCATCTTTGACCTCCCGGTTAGACAACAACAGACAGGGTTTGAAGGGCCCCACAATGATCCAGTTACTCACTTCTGAGAAGCTTCAGGAACAATCTAGAACTTAGCCATGCATCAAGATATGCATCATTGGTAATAGCAAAACACTGAAAATAATCCCAAGATCCAAGAATAAGACAGTAACTAATGATAAAAAAGTCATTTAAAGAGGAACATCACAGATATTCAAAATAACACTGACCAGTGAGTTATGGGGGAATATTTCATTCTATGCTAATGGAGAAGACGTTACACATAAAATCTCATGGATAGCATGACTCTGACTATATGAAAGGACCAGAAAGGACATTAAACTCATTTTCCCTCATGGAATGTTTGTCTTACTTATATTTCTCTCTGCTTTCTATCTTCTCCAGTTGCCACACATTTTTAAAGCTTTTGGATGAGGGTACTGAAGCCTCGCCTGTTCACCTGTGCCAACCCACATTTAAAGGAGGACTGTGAATCCACAGATGCCCCCTCAGGAAGACTTGGCCACTCCCAGAGATTCTGCTCTTGCTAGAACAACACCCAGTGAGGTGGGCCAACCAGCCTCACAAAACTGTACTGCCTGGTACGAGGCAAGACTGGACACCAAGAGGAAACCAGCAAACACCAGGTACCAAATCTCAAGGTATGGCGTCTGAGCTGGGAGCATACCGTAGTCCTGGGCTTCTAGGCTCCTCTGCCACCAGCACTTGGTTATCCCTTGCATGGCAACACCTGGTGCTGTAGGGCAAGGGGATACTCCTTAAAACACCAAACCCACTCCTCCACAAACTGTGGTAGTGACCACTCTCCATCCCCTCCAGCTGCAATCCTGCCAAAGTCCCCACCTGAAAGAGAAGTCCAGAGCCCCACTTAGTTCTACTTGCCATTAACCCTTCGCATTCTACTGAGGTGGAAAGAATGTTGCTAAGGTTTATTCTAGAGATAGTGGCCCATAGCCACATGCCCACACTTCCATACCAGCTAGACAGGAACCTCCAGCCAAAGCAAGGGGGCAGAAGAACCAGCAGGAGGGGCAGCATGAGGCACTGGGCACATACAGCTGATATCCTGCTTCTGGGAAGTGATGAGATGCCAGTGAAGCTACAGGGCCTACACTTGCTCGAGTCAGAAGTGTAGCTACAAACAAACTAACTGGGCTTGCACCAGGGGTTACATCAATTGTTCCATGGCTGCTTGCTTTCCAGACACCAAGAAATGGGATGAAAAGAGAAATTCTCACTTTCCTACTGGGCCAGATCTGAGGTGCAGAAGTTTCCATGAAGTGTGGTCCCAGTGGCTTCCGCTGGCTGGGTGGCCACTCTGTGTCACCACCAAGCCATCCCTAAAACACGCCACATCCTTCCTCTGCATGGGAGACCAAGAGGAGGCAGCCTCCCAGGAGGCCTGAGGATATACCAAGACACACGAATGATGGTAGAGACAGATCCCAACATTGTCACGCAGGTCGGTCAGCCTCCCCAAGTCACAAATGTGAGGTTCATGAGGTCACTCGGTGCCTTGACAAGGGAGAATGCTAGGTCAACTCAGCTGTAGCCAAACCCCTCAGATTCCCTCCGTCGGCACACTTTTACTCAGGCAGCTTCCCAGGGACCTGAGCAAGGTAGTGGGGACCAGAAAGGATGTACCATACCCCACCCCCTCAACTACGAAATAACACTGTGCACCCAGATACCACGCCTAGCAAGCTCCAGGTAGAAGAGCAGGGCAGAATCACAGCCGATGTCCTCAAGATGACAACAAAGTGTGGTCATAGCACCAGCTGTGGGCTGGAACCCAGCTACAGTCTCGCCACATCGACTGGCATGTTCTGACTCTTTCTAAAGCCAATGCCTCTTTCTGAGTCAGGACTAGCAGTGTTCCCACCACATGGAGCTAGGAAGAATCCAGGCCCAACTTGGACATCTTCTAGCCTAATCCCAACACAAGGGTGAGGTGGGTCTATCAGAGAAGTCACAGAGACCCAGGGTCTCCACTCTCCAGATACTAGGAAAGGCTAGGTGAGACCTCCTGCACCCCACCAACACCTGTCACGCAGAGAATGAGCATGAGCAGGCTCAGCAATATGGGAGTGGCACACGCATCTCATCCCATGACACATAAGTCTCTGAGTGCATGTGAACACCAGGAAGCCCTCTCCCACATTCCTGCCATGGCCCACGCCAGCTCACAGCTCCCATCTTCTGCCCAGTTTCTAGAGAGCTGCCTTCTACCCAGCTAACTCCGCACTCAGATACTCAAACAGAAGCTGAGGTGAGGATGGAACTGTGGCTCTCTCCTCTCCAATGCACTTTCTGAGTCACTCACAGTGGTAAGGAGGGACAACGAAGTATGCCCAAGGAAAGGTGGAAACAACATGCACTAGACAGGTGTGACCAAGCAGAGCTGGCCACCCCAAGGACCCGGGGGGCTAATTCACAGAGTGCAAGAGAGAGAGGAGTCCTGTGCTTTACCAACTCAGCCCCGGCCCCTAATCCAACCAAGACCCTCATCATACAGCTCCATGCACAGGTAAACATGCACCTGCTGGCAATTAGAGAAGCCCTCGGCCCCCAAGGCCCTCACCTGGACTCCAGGAGCCACCATCTGGGCAGCCTGAGCTGTCTGCACCGCTGTTTGCTGCTGCACCTGGGGCTGTACCTGCTGCACCTGAGGCTGCACCTGTGGCTGCTGTACCACCATAGGAGCTCGGACCTCAAGGAAGGAAGAGAGAATGTGATTTAGAGCCACCTGGGGCAGAGAGCAGAGCATTACCTACTTCTGTGGGAGCTTAGGACATAGTGTCATTCCTGACATGGGAGCTGGGATTTCCACAACTTCATGTGCTGTCATGTCATCTCAATGGCCACCTTGGATCCCATAAGCTCATCAGAAATGCCCCACCCCAGGCAGGTTCTGCTCAGCCCTCCTTCCCCAATGCTGGCAAGAGGCACTGTGGCCCTCCCACTGGGATGTCTCCACACAGCCCTCACCACCAGCAAAGTGACAGCTTCCAACATCAAGCACACAGCTCATCCTGCTCATCCTCAGGGCCAGGCATGCTGATGGTCCACAAGAACCTCACTCAGCCCGACTCCTCAAAGGAAACCAAAGCTGGCTGGCCAGCAGCTAGAAAGGCAAGCTTGAGCAACAGAGCCAGGGAGGAAAAGCAGGGCAACTGTGGGTCTGTCCAGAGAGACGAGATAGGCAGGCACCAGACCCAGGCAGGAAGTACCACCTTAAACATCCCCAAGCCCCCAGGGCACACTCGCCAGGGCATGTTCCACCAAGCAGCACACAAGAGTTGAGGTCCCCTTGTGACAGGTGAATGACTGCATCTGCTTCTTAAGACCCTACCAGACTTTCAGCCTGCCACTGTGGGACCTCCTGCTCCCCACAATACTAGCTCAGGCGTGGCCCCAGGTCCAGTCCACTCAATGACTCATAAACAGAAAAGGCCACCAAAACCAAGTGGGCCAGAAAGATGTTTAAATGGCTTCTTGGTGCAGTCACCTCTGTCTCAGTGGCAACGTTCTATCCCCTGTGTCAGTGTCACTGACTGGATTGGCTTTATGCAGAGACACACAATGAGACTAAAAGTAATAGTATTTGTAGACTCAAAAATATGGTAATGATAGGGCTACAAAATCTTGGCTCAGAACTCCAAGCAATTGGCACACTATCATGGACACCCACGGAATCAGCACATGCTCCCACATGGTGAGAATATGTGCGGTGCCCATCAATCTAACCATCTACAATCTCCAAGTGCCCACAGGCACTGCCAATATCCACCATGCTGCTTGGAAGATGACCTGCTGCCCTGGTGGCAGCAGCATCCCGTGCAGGGTGCAGAAGCAGCTCTTAGAATGTATGTTCCCTCAATGAGCCATGTCACAGAGTCAGTGCCAGTGAGAGGTGGGGGTGCTGAGTCCCAAGGCTTAAAGAGCAGGACATGTCATCCATAGCCAGAGAGCCTCAGAAACCACTGTGGACAGAGCTATCAGCTGCACGCAACACCATGAGAAAGTTGCACGCTCCCCACCGTAGTTCACGGGTACTCACAAATTTCAGTTGCTGTTGGGCATATAACATCTGCCCAGGGAGCGTTTGTGCCTGCGACACCAATGGCTGAGTTTGTGACTGTGGTGGGAGCTGTGACGGTTGGTTCTGAGCAACTGGAGGCTGCTGGGGCTGTGGCGGCGGCTGGTGGTGCTGTGGGTGATGCATTTGCTGCAGCTGCTGGGGCAGTGCCTGAGAGGGGGGAGGCTGTGGCTGCTGCATTGGTGGCTGCTGTATTGGCGTCTGGGCCTGCAAAGCCTGCTGCTGCTGCTGTTGCTGCTGCTGCTGCAGCTGCAGCTGTGCCATCCGCTGTAGTTGCTGCTGCTGCTGCTGTATCTAGGAACAGAACAAGCAGCACTCAGTTACCAGCCACCAGGCCTTGGGATGCCAGCTCCTCCCTGGGTCAGCCTGGGCCCCAGGAAGCCCAGGTAGGCATCATCACAGCTTCAAGAAAGCCTTCCTGGGCTGACCTCTCACACAGGAAGGACCTCCCACAGAAAAAGCAGGTTGAGCACCTCCCACAGAAGGGCTCTGGGTCCCCAAGGTTAATGCTGGCTGCTTTCCTGACACTGAGGACATACCAAATGTGTGCCTGTGCTCTGGCCTCCAGAGGTTGGTCCACCCTTAGGATGGCTCAAGGGAAAATCTAGGGGGTTTAATCTATGGTCATACCACCCTGAATGTGTCCCATCTCATCTAAACTCAGAAGCTAAGTAGCATTGGGCCTGATTAGTACTTGAATGGGAAAGTCTAGGAGATTTAGTATGGGGTGACAATGAATAGCAAGATAAAGGCTTGGGCAACTGCATGTTTCAGAAGTCTCCATAACGAGGCTTGTTTTGCTCCACAGTGATCAGCAGCACCAGCCTCATTCTGATGGCCAAGGTTTGCTTTTCAGGATAAGGAGAAGTAGGGCTGTAGATGTACTGGACAGAGCCTCCAAGATCCAGAAGGGACCAGCAGGCTGAAGCCTGGAGGGAAGGGGAAGTGGTGAAAGCCTCTTGGGGCTTTCCTCCCTCAGGCAAGACTTGCTGTGAGGGTGGATGCTTAATACATCCAGATTCACTGAAAACCATGGAGGCCAAATAGCTTCTGATAAGCAGGGTTGTTAACATGACATCGTGATTCCCCCCACAGAATACCCACTGGAGGATGATTAACACACTGAGCCCAGACACCAAGACAGAGAGGTAAACAGGAGGCACATACACCGTCGAAAGAAATGCGCCCACAGGTCAGGTCAAGTATACCTAAGTCTCCAAGTGTTTGCCTCACTTCTTGCTTCAGTTCACTCTAATAGGCATCCTGACAGACCGCAGCACACAGGCCTGCTGCCAGAGGCCCAAGCCTGACTGAGGGCCTCCTCCCGTCACCGTAGCACCTTCCTCATAAGTCAGGGCCCGTTTTTCCTGCTTATCCCAGACTTTTCAGGAAGTCCACAGAGGAGGGTGGGCACACGTGTATCAGGAGGACCCTTGGCTGGTGCTGGGCCACTGCACCCAGCACCATGGCTGATGCCTATCCGGGGCTCACAGACTATAGGAGGGAGGCCGAAAGCAGAAACGGAACCTGGTACCTGTTGCTGGTTTTGATGATGTAGTTTAATCAGGTGCTGCTGCTGCTGTTGCTGCTGCTGCTGGAGCTGCTGCTGCTGCACCACCGCCTGAAACTGCTGTTGCATGGCATTCTGTTGAGCTTGGAACTGTTGCTGCTGCTGTTGCTGCTGCAGCGCGGCCTGCTGCTGCTGGAACTGCTGCTGCTGTTGCTGTTGCTGCTGCTGCTGCAGCGCCACCTGCTGGAGTTGCAGCTGGGCTGGAGAGGAGACCAGGGTCAGGCCAGCAGAGGGGCTCTGTTCCCTAAGACTCTACAGGGTTGCACCACAAAGGAAGGAACAGCCAGCAAAGGCATCCAGGTCAGGCCTGTGGCCCCTGGGCTGCTGCTGGAATCCGAACACTCCACTTACTGGAGGGACAGAGTGGGAAGTAGGATTTGTGTTGATCTGGAACTTACTGTCATAAATTACTCATAATAATCAAAGAGAAAAGGGCCAACTGAGTCTTTTGGATAGATAAGAAGCCCAGACTTTGGCAACTCTAATCTTCCTTCTGTCTCTACAGTTTTTTCCCTTCTGGACATTTTGTACAAAGGGCATCAGACAATATGTGCCTTCTGTGACTATCTTCTTCACTTTGCACCCATGTCATGCCATGTATCAGCTTCACCTGTGTTAATGTTATTGCCAAATCATATTCCACTACACAGATTTCCGTATTTTACTTATCATTCCAGCTGGTGGGTTTTGGAGTTGCTTCAGTTTGTTAGCTACTGTGAACGATGCTGACATGAACAGTCAATTACTAGATTTTCTGTGATAAGGTGAACATGAAAATGTTCCAAAATTGTTTGTAGTGATGGTGGCACAATTCTGTGAATTACACTAAAAACTACTGAGTGGAGCATTTAAAATAGGTGAATTGTAGAGAACACATCTGGAGAATTATATTTTAATAAGGCTGTTATTTTTTTAAAAAGCTCAGAAAGACCCTTTATACACTTTTTTGTACAGTATCCCCCAATGATAATATAAAATTACAATATATCATAACCAGGATGTATGCTCATTGGTCTAGGCATGTGTACTCAGTTCTAGATACCCATATTACCTAGGTGCTCAGCCACCTCTGTCAAGACACTGAACAGCTGCTGTACCACAAGGATCCCTCACATTGCCACCTTCCTCAGCAACTCCAACCAGCAAGTCCTTGCAACCACTGCGGTGTCCTCCATTTCTAAAGTTATGTCATTTCAGAATTATGTATCGTATTTCAAAATGTTATGTATAAATGAAACCAGAAAGTATGAACCCTTTTGGGATTGGCTTTTTACATTCAGTGTAAAGCTCTGAAGATCACCCAGGTTGTAGCTATATCAGTAGTTCCTTCCTGGTATTGCCAGGTAGTAATCCATGGTAGAGGTGCCTCACAGTGAGCTTAACCATTCACATGAAGGATATCTGCATTGTGTGCAGATGTGGGCTATTATAAATAAAGCTGCTTGGCTGGCACGGTGGCTCACGCCCATAATCCCAGCACTTTGGGAGACCGAGGTGAGAGGTTGCCTGAGCCCATGGGTTCGAGACCAGCCTGGGCAACTTGGTGAGACCTCATCTCTACAATAAATAAATAAATAAATTAGCCAGGCATGGTGGTGCGGGCCTGTAGTTCCAGTTGTGGGGGCTGTGAGCATGCCACTGCACTCCAGCCTGGGTGACAGAGTGAGACTCCAACTCAAATAAAAATAAATAAATAAATAAATAAAGCTGCTAAAAACACATATTTGTACATAGGTTTTTATGGGAAGCTCTCATTTCTCCAAGATAAATGCCCAAGTGTGATTGCTGAGTTGCATGTTTCATTTTTAAAGAGGTTTTTACACTCTTACCAGCAATGAGTGATTCAGTTTCTCCATCACCAGCATTTGAGGTCACTATATATTTTAGTGATTCTATTGGTGTAAGAATCTTTAAATTTATCTTGCTATAGATTCCTAACTTCGTTTGATATTCAGAAAACATGTGTATGACAATAATGCTTTGAAACAGTTCAAAATTGTTGAAGCTTACTTTTTTTAAAAACTGGAGTCTCACTCTGTTGCCTAGGCTGAAGGGTAGTGGCATGCTTATAGTTACCACAGTGTTGACCCACTGGGCTCAGGCAATCCTTCCACCTCAGCCTGTTAAGTAGCTGGCAAGACAGACATGCACCACACCACATCTGGCAAATTCATTTATTGATTGATTATAGAAATGAGGTCTTGCCAAGTTGCCCTGACTGGACTTGAACCCCTGGGCTCAGGTAACCCTCTTGCCTCTGCCTCCCAGTTGTAAGCCACTACACCCAGCTCTGAAGCTTACTTATGATTGATTTTTGTAAACATATTTGTTCCATCATAGGCTTAGATAAAGTTGTTCATTACATTGTTCAAATCTTCTGTAAATGTACCATTTTTTGTCTGTTTAACTATCAATAACTAAGAGAAGAATTGCGGTAATTGCCCAATACATCTCTCTTCATCTTTTATTTTCAAATATTATATCATTGGTGTGTTTTTTGTACAGAAAACACTGTTGTGCTGTTTTATTTCCATTCAATCTGACATTTCCTGTCTTAGCACTTACATTTAACGCTAATTATATTTTCAACTTATTTCTATTTGTCTTCCATTTTCTAAGCTTCTGTCTCCTTTTTTAAACTGCACTTAGTTGGGTAGTTGAATTGGACTTTGCATATTATTTAGATTTTGTTTGTTGGTTGTTTTTTTCTTTGTTCTTTTTTTCTATTGATTTGAAACTTATAAATTATTTATATTGTTTTAGCAATTATTTTTCAATGTTACTATGCATATTTAACTCAAAATGCAACACTTATCAATATTTTAAACTTTCCCAAATTTATTATATTTTAAAATAGGTTTTACGTGCATACGACAGACCTGTTACTCATGATATATCCCCCTCCTGACTTCCCTTATTTCACTTCTAGTTGATCATTTAACCCTTCACAGCAGATAATACATTGAGAGGCAGGATAGGTTCCTGGCTAGGGCTACAGCCTCTGATCTAGGCTGCCTGGACTCAAACCCTAACTCTGTCACGGCTCATTGCCTCAGTTTCTCCTCTGTTAGAAAAGAGACAATAGAGCCGCGCTCGGTGGCTCAGCCTGTAATCCCGCGCTTTGGGAGGCTGAGGTGAGTGGATTGCCTGAGCCCGCAGGTTCGAGACCCGCCTGGGCAACTTGGCGAGACCTCATCTCTACAATAAATCAAAAAATTAGCTGGGCGTGGTAGCGCGCGCCTGTAGTTCCAGCTACTTGGAAGGCTGAGGCAGAAGGATCACCAGAGCCCAGCAGGTCGAGGCTGCGGTGGCCGGGAGCAGCCAATGCACTCCAGTCTGGGTGACAGAGTGAGACTCCAACTCAAAAAAAAAAAGAAAAGAGACAATAATGGTATCTACCCCACACACTGGACTAAGTGAAACAGTCAGGTTAGACATGGTAGCTCATGTCTGTAATCCCAGTGGTTTAGGAGGCCACGGTAGGAGTGTTGCTTGAAGCCAGGAGTTCTAGATCAGCCTGGGGAGCAAAGTGAGACCCCATCTCTACAAAAAATTTAAAAATTAGCTGGGTACTCAGTGTGGTGGTACACACCTATAGTCCCAGCTACTTGGGAGGCTGAGGTGGGAGGACTGCTTGAGCTGAGGAGTTAGAGGCTACAGTGTGCTATGATAATACCTGTGAATAGCCACTGTATTCTAACCTGGGCAACACAGTGAAACCCCATCTCTTTATAAGAAAAAAGGTAAAAAATTCAAAACAGTGCTTGGAATGTATGGAGGCTATTATTTTACAGAGGTAATTTCTGTATACACCAAGAACTCTCAACCTTGTTACTCCTGACATTCGACCCCGATAATTCTATGTTGTGGGGCTGACCTGTAAGGTGTAAGATGGGCCGAGTGCAGTGGCTCAGCCTGTAAACCCAGCACTTCGGGAGGCTGAGGTGAGAGGATTGCCTGAACCTGCAGGTTCATGACCAGCCTGGGCAACTTGGCGAGACCTCATCTCTACAATAAATCAATAATTAGCCAGGCATGGTGGTATATGCCTGTGGTTCCAGCCACTTGGAAGCCTGAGGTGGATCGCCTGAGTCCAGCAGGTTGAGGCTGTGGTGGCCGTGAGCGTGCTACTGCACTCTAGCCTAGGCAACAGAGTGAGACTCCGACTCAAAAAAAAAAAAAAATGTAACATGATCAGCAGCATCTCTGGCCTCTATTACTACAGCAGCATCTCCATAGTTGTGACATCCAAAAATGTCTCTAGATATTGTCAAATGTTCCCTGTGTTACAAAATCACCCCAGGTGAGAATCCATGGTTTAGATTTACATACACACACTACCATCCACAGCTCAACATTTCTTCTCCCACTTTTTCACCACAAAAGGATGATCTGAGAGGGAAGAGGAGAAGGTGACCAAATGGAAAGACATGTCCTTTAGAAAACCTTTTAGTGGCCAGGCTCGGTGGCTCAGCCTGTAATCCCAGCATTTTGGGAGGCTGAGGTGAGTGGATTGCCTGAGCCCGCGGGTTCGAGACCCGCCTGGGCAACTTGGCGAGACTTCATCTCTGCAATAAATCAAAAACTAGCCGGGCGTGGTAGCGCGCGCCTGTCGTTCCAGCTACTTGGAAGGCTGAGGTGGAAGGATCGCTGGAGCCCAGCAGGTGTGGCTGCAGTGGCTGTGAGTGGCCACTGCACTCCAGTCTGGGTGACAGAGTGAGACTCCAACTCAGAAAAAAAAAAAAAAGAAAGAAAACCTTTTAGTGAAGGTCATTTAGTCTTGCTTCACTGTGTCCTTGAAAGAGTCTTGCTAGCACCAACTGTGATTGGCAGCTCTCTTCCCAATGCTTTAAGCATATTCTATTATCATTCATTCATTTACTTTTCTTTCCCACTGACTTTTACAGAAGGCATCTATCATCTTTCTGACTCCATTGCTGAGTCTACTTTTCTAGGAACTGGCTGCTTCTAAGACACTCTTCTGGTCTTTGGTGTTCTGCAAGTTCATAACAGTGGATTCTAGGTAATTTCTTCAAATGTCGCTTTGGGTTCATAAATTTTTTCTTTGGCTGCATCTAATATGTTGTTTAATCATCTTTATTTTCTTCTTTCAATAATTATATTTCTCATTTCTATAGGTTCCATTTAGTTCCTTTTCAAATCTGCTTAGTCATGCCTAATAGTGCTTTTTCATTTGAAATTCTGCTCTTCCTTTTTTTATTTTTGTAGATATAGGGTCTCACTCTGTCATCCAGGTTGGAGTATAATGTGGTCTATCATAGCTTACTGCAGCCTCAACTTCCTAGGCTGAAGTGATCCTCCTGCTTCAGCCTCCTAAGTAGCTGCGACTACGGCATGTGCCATCGTGCCTGGTTCTACCCTTTGTTTCTTTTTTTGTTTGTTTGTTTGTTTTGAGTTGGAGTCTCACTCTGTCGCCCAGACTGAAGTGCAGTGGCCGCTCCTGCCACCACAGCCTCAACCTGCTGGGCTCCGGCAATCCTTCCGCCTCAGCCTTCCGAGTAGCCGAAATTATAGGCGTGTGCTACCACGCCTGTCTAATTTTTAAATTTTATTGTAGAGATGAGGTCTCGCCTGCCCAGGTGGGTCTTGAACCCGCGGGCTCAGGCAATTCACTCACCTCAGCCTCCCAAAGGCGCGGGATTAAAGGCTGAGCCACGGAGCCTGGCTGTTTCTTTATAAATGTTGAGCCTATAGCCCTTATCTAACAATTCCTGTATGTGTGATCCCTGAATGTGTCTATATCTGTTAATTGTCTCTGTTATCTTTCACAGATAAAGGGAAGGGTGTCTCTCCTTCCCTTCAGGCCTAGTGATCTTTGTGTGCTCACTGCTTGACATTAATCTGTACAATTCTCATGGGCCTAACTGGGGACATGTTCCTCAATCTGACTTGCTTCTGGGCAAGCCTGAGGGTGACACAGGACCCAACGTAAATCCTAGGTGGCTGGAGGCATCTCAGACTCATTTCCCACACATTGTAGCAGGACAAGGCTCAGCAGGGCAAAGGCTCCTCCCCACTGTAGGCCAGCAGTCAAAAGTGCACCTTCACCAGGATCTGGTTATCCAAGAGGAGGTGTTCCAAACACCCAGTCTGTTACGTAGTTGTCAGAAGGATTTACTTTTAAAGTTGGTTTTACATGCACATGGTATAAAATTCAATGAGGAACAAAATACACAGAATGAAAAGTAAACCTCATTTCCAACCCTATACTGCAGCCCAGCCATATGGACAGTCAGCAGTTTCAGCCTTTTCTGACTAATCTGGGTCACCTGGAGACTATCATAGTGCCCACTGGCCTGCACTTTGAGAGGTCCTGGAAAAACCTCTGACCCAGCCTCTGTCCTCTTGGTGGCACTGGATGAAAACCTGAAAGGACTTAATCATGCAGTAGTCCTTAGAAAAGCAGTCAGGAAGGGCTATCAAATGCCCCTTGGGCAACACCACCTATTTCAGGCAGACCAGGGAGTCAAGGGGCATGGTAAAGATGGGGATCTTGACAGAGGTGACAACAAGATGTGGAAGTAGAGAATCCACTTCAACTTTCAGCTAGTGCCATACAGTAGACCAGCCCTCTCAGAAGCTGAAAACAGGATGTGGGCCAAGGTCAGACTGGGGAGGGTGTGGGCAGGATACCAAGCTTCACTACTGAACTTCTGACAAAGAACCACTTTAAGACAAAGTCTTTGGAGTGGGATTACAAGACAAATCATGTGAGCCCTCTAAACTTATACTCTTAAAAACTATTTCTAAGCCAGGAGCGGTGACTCACGCCTGTAATCCCAGGACTTTGGGAGGCACAAGCAAGGGATTGCCTGAGCCCATGAGCTCGAGACCAGCCTGGCCAACATGGTGAGACCTTGTCTCTACAATAAATCAAAAAATTAGCTGGGCATGATTGTGCATGCCTGTAGTCACAGCTGCTTGGGAGGCTGAGGTGGAAGAATCACCTGAGCCCAGGAGGTCGAGGCTGTGGTGAGCCATGATTGTGCTACTGCACTCCAACCTGGGCAACAGAGTAAGACCCCAACTCAAAAAAAATCAGAACAATTATCTTAATATTGAGAAGACTTAGTTTTCTTAAGCAATCAAACCTAATAAGGACAATATAAAGTACAGGAAGTTTTCCTGATAAAACACAAAATCTGTTTCCTAGACCAGTTACTTACATGGTTTAAAAAAAAAAAAAAAGAATACTTTCATAATCTCTTATCAAAGCAGACAAATACTCCTAGAAAAGTCACTTTATCAGAGAAGACCAAATTATAATTTTGCATCAGTGTTTGATTCAGGTTGATCTCAAACTCCTGCGCTCAAGTGATCCTCCCACTTCAGCCTCTGAGTAGCTGGGACTCCAGGTGAATGCCACCATGCTTGGCTTAAAGCTAATTTTAATAAAAACTTATAAATAAGTCCATATAATCTTGCAGCTTTGACCACAAAGATAAGATTCCTTTTCCACCGAAGTTTTTGTTACTGGCCACAGTGGCTCATGCCTGTAATCCCAGCACTTTGGGAAGTGTAGGTGAGAGGACTGCCTAAGTCCAAGGGTTCAAGACCAGTCTGGGTAAATTGGTGAGACCTTGTCTCTACAATAAATTAAAAAATTACCTGGGCATGGTAGCATGGGCCTGTAGTTCCAGTTACTTAGAAGGCTGAGGCAAAAGGATCGCTCAAGTCCAGCAGGTCAAGGTTGTGGTGGCCATGAGCATGCCACTGTACTCCAGCCTGGGTGACAGAGTGAGACTCCAACTCACAAAATAAAAAAGCGCATACTTCCTCCAACTCTAAGCCCTAACAACCACTGATCTGGTCTGTAGCTGGAACTACAGGCATGTGTAACCACACCCAGCTAATTTTTTAAACAATTTATTGTAGAGATGAGGTCTCACCAAGTTGCCCAGGCCGGTCTCAAAACCCTGGGCTCAGGCAATCCTCTTGCCTTCACCTCCCAAAGTGCTGGGAATACAGGAGTAAGCCAAAACACCCAGCCGGAAGGGCAAGATTTTTAAAGGTAATGCAAAAGTTTGTTGGTGGTGATGAAATAGTTCTACATGATGACTATGGTTACAGGATTCTACATGTAATAAATCTCATAAAACTATACATACCCAGATGTGCAACCCAAGAATGCATGCAAAAACTGGGGAAATCGCCAGGCTTGGTGGCTCAGCCTGTAATCCCGCGCCTTTGGGAGG